TCACCAGACATGGTATGGCTCGGGTGATACCCACGCAGCCCAACGTGTTGAACAGCACTAGTAGATTGAGTAATTAAGTAAAGTTATTAATATAATTATTATATATTTATTTTAAATACGTATATTAAATAAAAATATTAGTATGTAATTTATTTTTTTATAATATTAGTTAACGAACAAGCTAGTGTAAATTGTTTAAAAATATGTTCGGGCTCGTCCGGGATTTGAACCCGGGACCTCTCGCACCCAAAGCGAGAATCATACCCCTAGACCAACGAGCCTCTTATGTAATGTACTTAATTATAAATTACAGATTCAATTAATTTATACCTGTTACCTGTTATAAAAATATATTAAATATCTAATTTATTTTAATTAATAAAAATTTTATGAATTACATCAATAGTTTTGTGCAATTAAAATAAATATATTGCAATTAAAACTTATTTAATCACTTTATAATATTATGCACTTACCAGTAAATACGCCACACAGAATGATGAAAAGTAGCAGGGATGTTTTATGGATGCCTCTACCAAGTGCCTCACCCAGGCCATCCAAATTAAACTCAAACGTTGAATTCCAGTGCGTTTGGTTGACGTGTGCCAAGTAGGCCGACCAGTTGCCCGGTGCCGAGTGGTTACCCTGTGTCCAGTGGACAGACATCCGCCACCGATTGTGATGGTTGTGGCTATGGCTTGAATTTGAGGTTTGGTTTACCTCCGGATAGTATCTATCCATCCATTCATTGGCGATACGGGAGCTGAATATTATTGTGAAGAGAGCACAGGCTATGGACACCACTGTCCATAGGATTAAGAAATATTTTATACATTTAAAGTATTTGTCTCTCATTTTTAAAACTAGATTTAATTTGAAGTATTAGTAATTGTTTATATTTCTATTGAATACACGAGCGCAGAATATTCTGTAATATTAAAACATGTAGATTAATAAAAATAAAAACTTTAAGAATATTCTGTTAGTCAATCAGTTTATCGAGTGTTTTACTAACATTTAATGTAATGTTTTTACTAACATTACTTTTATTAATACTTATGTAAAAATAATTTATAGTGATAATGAACTAGATACATGTATAAGCTAAAACATTAACTAGATCGATTAAATGATTTAGTATCTCAGCATTGAAGGGAATATTATTATTATTATTATGACATTCAATTTATTAATATTATGGAAATACACAGAATATTCTGTCTTTGAAAATAAACACAACAAATAAAATATAATAATAATAATAATAAAACATAAAAATCTATAAGATAGATGTATTTTCAACCTGTGGTCTCTCTCTCTCTCTTTCTCTCTCTCTCTTTCTCTCTCTC